CCAGCCCCATGGCGCAGGGGGACGCTGGCCCCGGCCGCGGACTCATCGCGCTGACCTTCTGCCTGCTAGCCGCGCGCGGTAAGGGCGGGCGCCGCGGCAGTGGCGCGAGCCTCTGAGGCGTGTGCGTGTGCGTGCGCCCGCACCCGCGGCTGCGCTGGGCTGTGGGGCTGGCGGGAGTCCTGGGTACCGAGTGAGCGCGGGGGCCGTGGGGCGAGGGTTGCGAGTCCTGGTGCCTGGGATGCATGGGCATGGGGGTGTGCGAGTTGCGGCCGGGGGCGTTTGCGGCATGTTGTCCGCAGAGGGTGTGTGTGTGTCCTTGGTTTGCGGAGTCTGGAGTGAGCGAGTGTGTGTGTGTGTGTAAGTGTAAGAGAGAGAGAGCGGTGGGGGGGGGGGACTCCTGCGGGCGTACGTGTCCGCAGTGCGTGCCACGGTCACAGCGTGGCATCGGCCGGGCTGTGGCTATGGGGTTGCTGGCTTGCATGGGTCAAGCTCTGCCCACCGTCTCTCCGGTGTATGTTGAGAAAGAGAAGGGGTGTGGAGGGGTGTGTCTACACCTCCATTTGTGTCGGGTGCGTGTGTAATTGTGTTTCTGGGGCTGAGCTAGTATTTGGCCTTGGCTTTTGGGGAGTGTCCTTGCCCGTGGTGGGGAAACAGGGCGGGAGATTCTGAACTGAGTGTGTGTGGTGGTGGTGGGGTGATAAAACAACACTCAACTTTGCCCAGTGGGTGTGGTCCCTGGGGCTAGTTGGGGCAGGGGAGATCTGATCCCCAAATTCGCGGCCAGGAGTGGTCTGGGGGGGAGGGGGCAGAAAACCAGGTGCTTTCGTGGACGCGTCCAGCGCTTGCTCTCAGGATGGGACACGTGTCACTCCTGCCCCACCATCCACGGGCGGTTCAGTGAAGCATGGACGAGGTCAACAAGGCCTCCTCCAGTCCCCACCCCAGTGCGGAGTGAATGGGGGGAAAGGGTTGGAGTTGTCCAGCTGAAAGAAGGGCTGGGGACGGGGAGACAAAGTCCCCAAGTGTGTGTTTGTCCCGGTCTCCTTCTTCCACCCCTAGTCCTCTCGATTTCAGTCCGGTGTGTGTTTGGGGGGCGGCCCAAGGGGAGAGTAGGTGGTGGGGCTGGGGAGGGGGATGGGCTGCCCGCTTTGTTCGCCTCCTTCTGGCCTTCCCCGGCCGAGGGGGGAGCTGAGGATGTGTCCGGGGCGAATCGGGGAGGGACTTGGAGGTGGGGGTGGGGAGGGGGATTTCTCTCCAGCTGCTGCGGCTTTCCAGAGAGACTCAGCCAGGCCACGTGGGAGGGAGGGTGGGAGGGTGGTGGGGGAAGGAGCTCAGCTCGGCCAGCCCCAGGCCCATCTCCGGGAAACCCAAATTGTGTGTGAGAAAGTGCCTCGAACTGCTCGGACCCCTTCTCCCCCAGCACTGACACGCCCCTTTCCAGTCCTGACCTTTGACTTGGCTTTCGTCCGCTGCGGGAAGCTGCCTAGGGGCAGGGTCGGGGTGACTGGGCAGAAAAGTGGGAGTCCAGGGTTTGTCAAGTGAAAGGGGCGGGGAAGTGTCAGAGGGGAGTCTGTCCTCCTGGAAGGCTGGGATTAATGAATAGTTTTGCCCCTCTCACTCCGCCAAGAGCTGCTGGGATGAGCTTAGTCTGGGTCCAGCAAAGAGGGATCTGGGCTAGGAACCGCACCCGCGCTTTCTCCTGTACCTCTGAGGCCTCAGGCAAGGGGCTTAGCTTCCCTGATTTCTAGACTTGGCCTCTCTCAGCTACGGAGTGCACCGCACAGGGGCTGGGCCCCAGCTGAGGCTCGGCTTGGTTGCAAAGTGAGTGGCTAAAGCAACCACTCTGCTCTCTCTCAGTCCCACTCCCTATGTGTGTGATAAACAGCAGCAAGCCCTGGGGCACTCCTGTAGAGCTCTGAATAGCCCTGTGATCTAGATGGCGGTCATTCATTCATTCAACAAATATTTACTGAGCACCTTTTATAGGCTAGCATGTGCTTGGTGCCTGGAATATAGCAAATAAGGAGGCAGACATGGTCCCTGGTACAAAGCTTTCTGTCTGGTGGCGGAGGAGATTTGCTTTCTGACAGGTAAACAAGTACTCTGCCATGCTGTGAAAGATGCTGGGAGGAAGGGCTCCTAAACCTGTGTGAGGAGGTCTGGAAAGGCTTCCTGGAGGAAGTGATGAATAATAGAACTAAATGTGAAGAGAGAGCCCTGCAGAAGAGTGAACGGTGAAGGGAAACGTTTTTCAGAGAGAATGACATGTGCAAATGCTCAGAGGTGACTTAATCTAAACCTGAAAGAAACTAAGCCTGGCTGGAGTTCAGAGTAAAGAGGTGGGTGTGTGGCAGGTGGTGGAAGGGTGGGACAAGAGCAGTGGAGTACCAAGAGGAGAGGCTGAAGAGGGGGACTGGACCCAACTCATGAAGGACCTTATAAGCCCCACTATGATTTCTGGCCTAAGAACCCCCATAAGCCACTGGCAAGTTTTAAGATTAGCTTTGCATCAACTTGGCTTTAGCCAGTGTGGAGAATCAATTGGGCAGGGGTGGAGGCAGGAAGCTCCAGCTCCTTGGAAGGCTGTGATAGTGATCCAGAAGAGAGGATGGTAGCAACTAGTGTAGTGGCAGTCCGGGTGGTCAGAACGGTTGGATTCTGGAGACATTTAGGGAGTAGAACCAGTAGGACTTGAGGATAGACTGAATCGGTAGGGGGTGAGAGAGAGGGTAGTAAAAAAATAATGAGAGGCTTTGGCAACATCTACATGGGTCAGAACAAAGGGCTGAGGGTGGCGTGAGGATAGTGCCAGGCTATGCTTGTCTGCTATCGAGTCAGGGATTGGTAAGTGAGGAGATATTTTATGAGAATGGGACTCCTGTCTGGGAAGGTAGAAAGCTGAGTTCTTCGTTTTCACCACATGCAAGTGTAACTCTCCCGTCTACCCAAGTCAGAATTTGGGTGGTTGGGAAGCCAGAGGTGAGAAACCAAAGGGATCTAAGAACCTGAGAACTGCTTTCTTCTCACCAGGGAATGCCCTTTGCCCAGTTCTTAGCCCAGATACTCTGAGATGGGTCTCACTCAGTTGGGGTGGTCCTTTCTGACCCTGTTTCTGAAGTCAGGAACTGGGTCAAACACTGTGATTCCCCTTAATGGTGAATCTTATCCAGGTATTATCTAAACCTTTATAGATCCTGATGTGCTTTCATGGTCCAATTAATCACACATGTACATGTAAATTAGCATTTCCTTTCATTTCTCTTAAAAGTACCTCTTTCAAGTTAAGTGAGCTCAGAATTACAGCATCCTTGATGCCAGCACTGAAAGGAATTTAGAAATTATTTTAGCTTGACCCCATTTTACAGATGAGAAAACTGAGTCAGTAAGAGGGAAATGGCTTCCCAAAGTTGCACAAATAGGGACTGAGCTAGGGCTAGACCCAGGTCACCTGGCTACATTGCCAGGTTGGAGAAGTCACCCTTTCCTGGGATTTCGTAGATACATACCCAAGTCCACCTTCTCTGCATACCCCTGCCAGTGAGATGTTACCAGCTTTGAGCCTGGCCCCCTTCGTTGGTCTGTCTGGGTTCTGGAATCGACCATCCTCCACTCACCCCCACCGCCTCCTCCTGTTCAGCTCCCACTGTCTCTGAGGTACAGCAACCAGACTTGACGCAGAATTCCAGATGCAGAACAGATGTCATTGCCAGGCGGGCCTGGGGCTCCCAGCCCTTCTGCGGGAGGAGTAAGAGCAGTTCTGAGGGGGAGGACAGGAGTGATGGGAGATGAGGAGGAAGGAAAATTAAAGAGGATATGCCGGGCTCACCATGCAAAGAAATTGAATCTTTATCTTCTAGGCCAGCCCGGCTGCTAGCTACTACTCCCTCATTGCTGAGCCGAGGAATCTTCTGGATTTGGGGGTTGTGGCACTGTTGGAGGGGCTCTGGTGGTGTAGTGGTTAAGGCATTTGGCTGCTAACCAAAAGGTCAGTGGTTCGAACCCACCAGCCGCTCCTCAGAAGAATGATGAGGCAATCTGCTTCCATAAAGATTTATGAGTTTGGAAACCCAATGGGGGGTTGCTATAAATTGGAATCGACGGCAGAGAGTTTGGGTTATTTTTTTTCTTTTTTGGTTTGGGTCTTTTGGGGCCAGGGAACCAGAGGATCAGTAAGTTATCTCAGGTAGCAGGGACACTGGTACAGACCTGAGACTCCAGAATGGTTAAGTAGTTCATTGCCTTGTTCCCTAGTTTGGAGGACTAATCTTTGGAGAGTGAACCTAGTGTACAGGGAGGCAGGTAGGCCATGAAAAAAGGCATTCTTCATTATATGAGCCACACAGCTGGTGAGCAGGTAAGGTGGAGAACACCCAGCGTTAAGTACAGAATTCCTTTCAGTGTGAGATTGCTGCTCTGTCTTTGCTTTGTGAGCATCTGTTAGGTGCCATGTTGTGTGCAAGGCATATTCCACATATATTATGCCCATCAAGGAGCTCTGGTGGTGCAGTGGTTAAGGCATTAGGCCACTGGCCAAAATGTCAGTGCTTTGAACCCACCAGCCACTCCATGGAAGAAAGATGAGGCAGTCTGTTTCCATAAAGATTTCCAGCCTTGAAAACCCATTGGGAGTCACTGTGAATCAGAATTGAGTTGAAGTCAGTGAAGCTTTTTTTTTTTTTTATGCCCATCATGCCTAGCCTTGAAGGGAGTTACTATTATTTTTACAGATAAGGAAACTGAGGCTTGGAGAACATGAATGAGTCTATGTCTTACCTCTTTGAGTTTGTCTCTGAATATCTGTCTACTCAGCCACTCAGGGAGTATTTATTGAGCACCTCCTATGTGCCAAAGGTCACTGGGTGGCATGGTTTACATGCAACTATTAACCTAAAGGTTGGTGGCTCAAACCCACCCAGAAGTGACATGGAAGTTCTGCTTCTGTAAAGGTTGCAGCCAAAAAACCCCATGGAACATTCTACTCCGTAATGCTTGGGATTACCATGTATCAGTATCGACTCGACAGCAACATGTACAATGTGCCAGGCACTGTTCTAGGCACTGGGGATTTAGAAAAGTGA